TAGATGAGAACACTTGGCATTAGCCGCTGGCCCCTCCCCCGGCCCAGTGAGTACCAAATACCCAGCAGCACCTGGGAGCTTGCTTTATGCTGGTCCCTGGCATAAGCCGCATGTGTGATTCTCATCTTTGTTCCAACTCTGGAAAGCCGGAATATTGTTAGCTCCTTTTGCGAAGAGAAAACCAGTACTTAGGAAGGTTTAGTGCTCTCAGTAGGAAAGGGTGGAAGCAGATGCCAAGCCTGGGGGTTGTGGGTCTCGACCACCACAGCGTGGACAGCCTGGCCGAGGCTGCTGCTCTTTGACCCTGAGCACTGCTCTTCAACTCCCCCTCAGCAGTGGGTGTGCCGCGTCCCACGCAGCAAAGCCAAATCGCAGCCGTGCACAGACCCAAGAGGTTAACAATTACAGGAGGGCCACAGCGCTTCCAGTTTCCTCAGCCACTGTGTGGACAAGAGTGGCTTTTCCTCCAAAGTTCTGGCACCAGCCCACAACCCAGGCCTGTGTCCGTGTGATTCAGATTCTGCCCGAGTTCTGGGATACTGTTCCAATAGGACCCGAGTTTCTCTGGGCCTCTTTATTCCCTCCATGCAATAAAATCCTGTCATCAGGGCCAGAACTGATGAAAAGGTGGAGCTCTAAGCACTGCTTGTGGGGCCTGGAAGATGCTGTGCACAGAGCTGACCACCACTGTGGGCCCCAGAGGGAGCCCCAAACATGAAGACTTCCATGCCTGTGGAGCCAAGACCCACACACGTCCAACTCGGTCCTGACCAGGGCTCCAGGGACCCAGTCCCACAGGACACCATCTCCCCTAATGCACCTGGCACCTCTGCAGGACACCAGAAATGGTAGCGCTAGCAGGTCTGTCCTTCTGGGTAAAACCAGTTTTCAGTGATGACCCCCACGCACATCACTAGCTATAAAGTTCCTTCATGTGAACAAAAAAAAAAAAAAAAAAATTAAAGGCTCCCTGTTCCTCCGTATACATTTGGTAGTAAATAAAGTAATCATGGGCTAGATTTTAATCTTCATTCCCTAACTGCACACTCACACTTTCTGAGCTCTGCAATCCTGTGCTGAATGACAATGACAATGACAGTAGTACATTTGTTATACCCAGTTCTACACTCACTCAGATGTCAAAACCAGCCTGACTTCCCTTCTTGGACTCTATCAGTCTTTGGGGCTATGTAAGTTTCCAGAACTGACAGTCTGGAAAGGGGGATGCATGCGGGGGATTTGCAAAAATCAGCCAGAGAGGCTCTTGAGCAATGAACTGAACACAAAAGAAACCTGGGCATGGTAGCAGTACCCCTGTAGTCCATCGCCCAGGCTATGGACTGTGTGAGTCTCTCGGCCCACCTCCCCCGGGAGCTACTCTGGCTTGACATCTTCTGTGGGGACAGGGCCTGAGCAGGTGTGGAGTGACGTGTTTCTCACTGTGTATCTCTGCTTATAAACTGGAATGTGCACGGAATGAGGACAGCACGTGTCAGTCCTCCAGCCCTGGTCACCATTGCATCACTAACTGAATCGGTGCCAAGTGGAAAGCGGGCTTTAACCTGAGAAGATGGCAGTGAATGGAGCTAAATTCACTTGAAATGGCACGAGTGTCCTGTTGGGTTAGCAGCACCTGGCACAGCTACAGAAGCGAGGTGCGGCTCCTGCCTCATACTTGCAAGACCTGGACCTCATCTACTGCCTGAAAATGCCTATTATATCCTCTCCCTGCCTGTCTCCAAATGTGTCTCTCTGTCTCTCTCTCTGTCTCTGTCTCCTTCCCTCTCGCCCTCCCTCCCCTCTCTCTGAATCTCTGTGTCTGTCTTTGGGTGTCTGTCTCTGTCTCTTTCTCCCTCTCCCTCTCTCCACCTCCCTCCCTCCCTCCCTCCATGTCTGTCTCCCTCTCTCCCTCACTCCCTCCATCCCTCCCTGTCCCCCTCTCCTTCCCTTTCTCTCCCTCCCTCCTCCTCCCCCTTTTCCCTCTCTCTCCTCCATAGCCTATATGCCCATTCTATGCTCACTTTCATGTACTTTCATCACACACCATGTACACTTCTTCATCCCACTTCCTTGATATCATATTCACAGCACTCAGTACAGTCCTGGCCCTCAGTGGTGGCTTTAATCAAAATGTGCTAAATGAAAAGGACATAGTTCAGCTCCTGGGAGCTTTTCACAATCCACGCAATCCATCTCCGCAGGTCTCAGACCTCCTGTTCCTTGGACACCACATGCGCCCTAGCTCCACACCCATCACGCACTGCTGTAATTACACGTTGAAGATCTACTCTCCCAGATACACTTGGGTGGGAACTACACTAAATGGCACCATCAGACATAGATAGATTCAAACTAGAAGGCAATGTGGAAAGAACAATCAGAGACAGCAGAATTGGGGACCATGTGGAGGCCTAGCACGCTCTTAATAGCCTGGATAACAAAATGTTTGGAAACCTTGAGGTAACACCAAGCCTGGGCTGACTTGTATCAAACACCACCACCCTCTCTTGGTCATTTCTACACACCTTGTGCCAAATACCCATAATAACTCTGATAGGCTGTTATCCAATTTCCAGTAGGAAAACTACATTTTAGTGCAGTAGGTACACAACTGGTCTATAGCCAGTGAACTAGCAAAGACAAAAAGTATCTAAGGTCTTTGACTCAGTTTCCGCTCAGCCTTTTTTATTTTTTCAATTATAACAATGAGAGTAAGAGCATCACCTGCATGCAGCCCTCTGTAGCAATCTAGTGAGACAATGCAGGCACCAGGCAGCTTGCAGACATTGCAGTAGCTCTCAACTGGCATTAATGTTGCCACCTTGGGGACATGCGGCAGTAGAAACAGTTGTATCACAACTAAGGAACTGCTATTGGCTTCTAGTGAGAAGAGGCCAAAGGCACTGCTAAGCGTTCTGCATGAGCACAACAGCCTCTATGAAGAAGAATTACAGTTCCTAAAACGACAGTGGTACTGAGATTGAACGGCTGTGGTGATCCCATGATGCGAGGGACAGTGACACAGATGCACAAAACACAGCAGAGCCTCACAAATTACAGGTAGATTTTTTTTTTTTTTAACAAGTAGATCTTGATGTCGGGAAACTCCTCGCCCTGGAACTTAGGTCCAGTACTTGCTTTACAGGACATTTGACCCATGGTTCAGTTTCCAAATGGAGGAATAGAACCAGCCTGTTGGGGCTGTTCAAAGAGTCAGTGAGTGGCTGCTTACCTCAGCGCCAGGCACACAGGTACATCTGTGTTAGTTTTATTACTTATGAAAGACACAAAGCAAGATACAGGGGTGAAATACCTTGTCTCATCAAACTATGTAAGAGGAGGAAAATTAAGAAAAATATTACAGTGGCACGTTGGCCTTGGTAATCATCACAAGGTTATTGTAAAATTCTGAGTTGAACTCATCATAAAATAATTTAATTTACATAATTATTGCATCAGTTTCTATCGCAATAAATTAATCATATTTCACTGCTTTGAAGGGAATTCAGACACCAAAACTTGCAAAAGTTCATTTTGTCGTTACCTCGACTCACCACATTTTTTATAATATTTTATTAAGAAGTGAGTTAGTGTTAGCATTGAACGTTGTATCATTATTGCTTGATACCTGTTTGTTTTAATAAATTCCTTTCACATTACTTTTGATTTGTGTAAACATTGATCGAGCGCAGCAACTCTGGGCCTTGACTTCCTCCGGGCTGGATGTGTCTCCAGCCCTCTGGGCTGCCCAAGCAGCTCGCTCACTTGCAATGTAATTAATCAGTAGAAAAACATCTCTGTATTTCCCTGCCGTTCATTCTCACCTGCAGGTCTGGGTGACCTCTTTTCCTGCCAGCAGCTCACTGCCCACCCAGTCTTGCTCCCTGCAGCCCTCGACAGCTGGAGCCACGTGTCTTCGCTGCTACTTCCAAAGCTGGTTACTTCCCTGACCCCACACACAACCACACCCCACCACCCTAGCCTCCCTCAGGCAACAGATCACGCTTTTCCCTCCCAGGGGTCTTCAGACTGCATTCATCAAACCTGCCGCACAGAGGGACTCCTGTGGCAAGGTCACACCTGTCCCTATCCCATTGTAGAAAAGATAGTGTGGAAGTAAGAAGTGAGCCGCCACGGGAGGATGCAGCAACCAAGGGGAGAGGGCTGGGGTGGAACAGGTGCAGAGGCGAGAGGAGGTCAGCTTGTAAGAGAAAAGGCAATCAAGGGGCAGATGAGCCAAAAAGGCATAGAAATCACACTCCTAATCTTCTGTGCATAGAAGCCACATCTACACTGCCATAATACGGAGAGCCTGCAGCCTTGAGCGCTGGATACATTTTATATCAAAGCTACCCAGCTGGCTGCAAAGAAGTGAGAAGCTGGGCTTCAGGCAAGGAAATTTAGATAAAAATGAGGCTCCCACTCGCCTCAGCTCTCCTTCCCAGAGAGGCAAAGGAGAGAAATGGACGCCAGGTTTGCCACATTTGTCTCCTACCTCGAAGATCTGCAAGAAAAGTAAGCTGCAGCACAGGTGGAGGAGGCAGCAGCGGAGAAGAACGGAGAGAAAGGAGAGATAACCAACGAACTTGGATAAGGACAACAGAACCACACCCTCGGACCAGCTCGGAGCACAGTGGAAGGGGCAGCCCGGGCCTCAGTAACGTTCTCCCGATGTCTTGAGAAAATACTCCGATCAATAACAATGCACTTCCGCTGCATTTTTCCAACACAGGCTTTAATTCATAATGCACTCGAGGGAAGGGGTCAAGGCAAGGTGCACGGGGTAAACGGGCTGCACTGATCTTCGCTGAAAAGCCAGAAAGGGCAGGTGGCACCGAGGCTGTCCTGCCTTTCTGTATCCTCCCACCCTCCCCCCACGAGTCCCCAACCTCATCCTGGTTTTCGATGCTGAGGGGTGGATGCGAGTACAGTAAGAAACCACTGAAGCGTTAAGTCTACTGAGGCCGTGATTAAAACGATTCCCCAACACGTCCTCGTGTGTTTCTGAAGCGCCCCGTGCACCTCGCGTGCGTCTCCGTCCTTCTGCAGGCTCTGCCGACGCCGGGAGCAGGGCTCACCCCGCGGCGGTCTCGGGGGTGCGGGGCAGCTCGCAGTCAGTCGGGGTGCACCCCCGGTTCCCCCGGTGCTCCGTCCCAGGCCCCGTCCGGACGCCAGAGGCCGGGGTAAGGCGAACGGCTGTAACTGGCGCTGAAGTCGTATGATGCCTGGTGGGGCGGCGGCGGCGGCGGCGGTGGGGCGCAGTCCGGGAAGAAGGGGGCGAAAGCGGCTGCAGGACCCGGGCCGTCCTCCCCGGCGGAGTCCGCGGCGGTGGCGGGGTACAGGGGGCGCAGGGACTCGCTGGGGCTCAGGCCTCCGCGGGCGGCGGCCAGGGGCGGCTTCCCGGCGGGTGGGCAGCCCGGGGCGCCCCAGGGCTCGGGGTACAGGAGGCTCCCCACGACGGCGGGGGGCTCGAAGAGGCCGGGCTCCAGCTCCAGGGACGCCCGCAGGCCTGCGGCGGGGAACACGTCGAGGGGCTCCGCGGCCAGCAGGACGCCTGCCTCGGGGTCGGCGCCGTAGTCCGGCCCCAGCAACTCCAGGAGCTCGGCCGCGCCCGGCTCCAGCTCGCCCAGGCTCGGCCCCGACGGGCCCGCCCGGGCCGGCTCGGTGAAGAAGGACGCGGGCAGCTTGCGCGCCCGCAGCGGGACCTTCGCGGCGCCCGG